GTTTTTGGATAAGGCCGGAAGTCGAAGAGAAACGCTTCGGTTGGATATGATGGAAGGCTCTTACAACAAGTACTATGATGCTGATGTCATTGTCTTCAACACAGGTCACTGGTGGACTCATCAGAAAACCTTTCAAGGGTAAAATTGAACTCTGTCACATTTTAAATGCATGCATGTATGTATTGTTATTTTTTAATTTAATTTTCTTAATTTTTTGTTAGGAAATACTATTTTCAAGAAGGGGATCATGTGTACAACAAACTCGCGGTAGCGGACGCGTATAAAAAGGCATTGAAAACATGGGCACAATGGGTCGACGAAAATATCGACAGCAGCAAAACGAGCGTTTTCTTTAGAGGATACTCGGCTTCTCATTTCAAGTAAAAAAAAAATTATTTTTTTTATAATTATTGGAGTGTTTAATTTACTTAATTTGAAGTGTTTTAATTAATGTAACAAAATTTCGAAATTTTCAGGGGGGGGCAGTGGAATTCGGGTGGAAGCTGCGACGGAGAAACGAAACCTATTACGAACGAGACTCAGCTTTCTCCATATCCATGGATGATGAGAGCACTCGAATCCGTCTTGATGAAAATGAAGACGCCCGTTTTTTACCTAAACATAACGAAGATGACGGACTATAGAAAAGACGGGCACCCTTCGATTTTCAGACGATCGTCTTCGAATATTAAAAACGGGGTTTTTCAAGATTGCAGCCATTGGTGCTTGCCCGGTGTGCCGGATTCTTGGAATGAACTTCTTTATGTCATTTTAGTTCAATCTCAGAATCAGAAACTAAGTTCTTTTGTGCATTAGTATTTTACAGAAATTATTGCAATTTTTTTTTGTCAGAAAAATCTTGTTTTTCTGGTTTTTCTAGTGATATATGTGTACTTTGTGTTTTTTTGTATAAAGAAGCCATTTTTTTGTTATTCCAACATGATTTGGATTAGTGTTTGTGCAGTGTATGATTAATTGTAGCTTAGTGTAAATTACGGTCGATCATTGAGATAGGTCAAATTACGAAAAAATCCTCCTGCTTCAGTAATTACAATTATCCTTTCAATTATGAATCTCCTTTCACGTCCATCTTATGGTGTCAAATTTCCGTGATTTGTTCTCTAGTTTGTACGTGTTTTGTGGAAAATACAGTTTCTGATACACTATAATCGGATGTTTACAAGGCAAGAGACACATCTTATGATCATCTTGTTTCAAAATGTGGAGCTCGAATGAGGTAAAATTTTACAAATTGGAATATTTCACGTAATCTAGAAGAGTCCACTAAATTATCCAAACATGAGTGTTTTTTCCGTAATTTAACCTTGCCTCAGGGGTGACCGTAATTTACTAGCTTATTAATCCCATCAAGCCCTTGTTATAATCAAAAGATTTATAGTAATTTATATTGTGATTATTTTTTTTGTGAAAAAATATCCCAATTAAACATTAAAATATAAAGTTAAATTAGATACACTCTTATGAATTAAGCTTCAAATATTATAGTTTAAGGGTCAACCCATATAGACACACCATGTCGACATATATAAAAGCTATTTAAACACTCCCAACATCAAAACGACCCAGTTTTAACCTTTTGAAACGGAAACCCCCTTCCCTTTGCGTCTCGCCGGAGAATCAATTCCTCGCCGGGATTTTAGCTGAAAATATGAGGCGGCCGGCGTACTCTTCACCGTCGATCAATTTCAATGCTATGGCTAGGAAGATCGATGTTGACAATCGGATCGCTCTACGGAATTACTATCGCATCGCCGATAATCTTCTCAAACAGGTAGTTACTCGCAACGAAGATTCTTATTTTTTTTCATCAGGAGAAACGATTAGAATGAAACACTTTTGTAATGAATGCATTTTGGGGAATTATATTTTACTAAACCTAATTCAGCAGATTGCATGTTGTCTTATCTCTTAAGCCGAGTTGAATTTTGCTGGATATGTTTGTGTTTCGAGTTTTTTCTTTTGTTGTATCAGTTGTTGATACTTGTCGCTTAAATTGTTGCCTTTTTTGGCTGTAATTTTCTGCTTTCAGTTGATTTGAGTCAGCTGATTTCCTTAGTATTTAATTCGTTTTTTAGCAGTCTGGGGGCATCTAATGACTTAATAATATGTTCTCGTTTCATATACAATGTGTTTGTATTTATATGATGTTCTGCGAATTAGTTTATATGATGTTCTGCGAATTGGTGTAGAAGGGCAGTTAAATATCTGAAAACTAAAAGTTGATTTTGTTATGGGATGATTGATTCTTTGCCATTCTTTTTGCAGGCAAATATTTATAGGGATGAAAAAAATTTGATAGACTTGTATGTTATACTGCTACGATATTCAAGGTACATGTTTAAAATTGATTCCGCATCTGAATTCATATTCAGTTTAATTTCTGAATTTATTATTTCCAGTTACTAATGATGTTACATTATATATTGAATTAAAACAGTTTGGTTTCTGAAACTATACCGTACCATCGAGATTACCTGGCTTTATTTCCTAAAGAAAGAAATTTATATAAGAAGGTAACATTCGTGTTCTGGTGATTTCACATGCTCATGCGATGATTTTGATGATTAAGGTATTTGGTAATTTTCTCGGTGTTATGGTGTGCAGAAATTGCTCTCTGTGCTAGATGAGCTAGAGACTTTAAAACCAAAAGTGCGGCGTCAGCTAGATGAACAGGAAAAAGTTAAATCTGCTACTCAACTTAATCAGTTTAGTGGCTCAAACCGGATTTCCGATTTATCTTCTTCGAGTCACAAAGCTTCCTTAAGCTACAGTAATAATCAGGTATTAATTATGCTGCACATTTGCTTATTTATGTTGTTAACGTGCAATTTTTTGGGTAATCTTGGTGAACTAGCAACTATGGACATATGAGCATATTGATATGCGTTTCTGGTAACCTATTTGCCTAGAAGTTAAAAAAATAGTAAAAATGACGACAACAGAGCCATCGCAATAATTTCCTTAAAAACTTGATGTTGTAGTGATTTATCACATAAGTACTTAAACAGCTCTGTTTGGGAAGTCAAAATGCATTTGGAGCATTTCTGGAAGAAATGAATAAGTAAGATAGAATGTAGGAAGATTTGCCTTTTCGGTTAGGTAATTCCATACAACGTCTGTAAGTTCAGGGGCCTTGTTCAGCACCAATTTTGGTGTGTGATTCTTACTTTCATTAAATGTTTTAGTCGCTTTTTTCTCCTCTTACCCTGTTCTTTGTACTCAGATGCTGCAACTCACTACATCACCTTCATCATCATTGAAGCAAAATAATGAGTATACTCCATTTTTATCGTCGAATCCCATTGAATCACAATTTCAGAAGCTGTAAGTGCACTATGAAGATACTATGTCTTAGTTGTTCAAATCTGTCAAGCTGTTCTGTTAGTGTATATCCAAAAATATGTCTACATTTTGAATTTTAGATTTGAAATCATTTTACAAGTCAATTTTATATGTCTTCAAAATCTACTCATGCCTCGTGCTAAAGATCAGTTTTAATTTTGTTTCAGTAAGTTACATTCACCGTTCTATTTTTCAAATTCTACAGATCTCTTAGTTTACCTCTTCCGAAGAAGGAAACATTATCAAGACATTCATTTTTAGGCCCGAATGGTCTTCGTGGACAATGGCTTGGGCCCAGTCCTGAGATTAAGGTGAACTGCATGAAGATTCTCATCATCCTTGATTTACTCTTTTTCATAAAAGGAGTTTAAAACCATCCATCATATTTATGTTTGTATCTACGTCCATTCTCGATTAGTTAAACAAATTTCTCTGTACCAGGTTAACTATCCAACAAATGTTATCATGGATTCAAATGAAATTCCAAGGTATGGATCCTATTCATACTAAATAAATGCTTATTTTTGTTATGTGCCCCTTTTTCTTAGGGGCTAGCAGGTTCTGATGGTGACCATTTAAGTAATTAATCAATGCTTTTTATTGTATAGTTATCCACAATGGAAGTCTAACTTCTAATCAATAGATACATACTTATATCCATACTTTGAATTAATTGCTTGTAAGTTGTAACATTTCAATCCCGTGTCACTATTTTTATAGCTTGAATCAGGTTGGCCAAGAAGAGTTTGTGGCAACAAAAGACAGTAATCCAGAGGTGGAAAAGTCAACCATGGAGTCTATTCTATCTTTAGATGATGGTAGATGGCTTGCCGAGGAATCTAGTATTCCCCTAGAGAACAATGATTTTCAGTTGGGTAATATCAGGCAACCTTCTCCACCTCCTGTCCTGGCCAAAGTGCAGCCAGAGGTACGTCCAATATCTCCATCAAGGGTTGCTGATCCAAGGCCTGGCCCACCAAAAATCTCTGAAGATGGACCGCCTGGTTCCAATTGTTACCAAGATCTTCATATTGTGAGTCTAATTTTGATGCTTGTAAACGTCACGCATAATTGCAACCTCTTTCTTAATATTTCTTTAAGTTAAATTGAATTCTTGCATTTCGGTGGATGTGATGCCCGTATGTTTGCGTATGTTGTAGCCAATGAAGATATTGGATGAGTTTTTAAGATTAGCGCAGAAAAACACTAAAAAGAATTTGGAAACTTGTGGTGTGCTTGCTGGTTCACTTGTAAGTCTTCAATTTTTTTGTAACTGCTTTTACTTTCTCGAAAGTACGAGGGCTTACCTAAGCATTTCATGCTAACTAATGGTTTATATTTCATTTGATTTACAGCGGAATAGAGTATTCTGTATTACCACACTCATAATCCCAAAACAGGAGTCAACTTCAGACTCGGTACTATTTACACCTTTATATATGTGTCTATATTTGTAACTTTGACTTTCAAATCAACTTTAAGTGCACTTCTATTGAAAGTTTCTCTTGCTGGTCAAGTTCACAGCTTGTATCTTATTGGATTTTCTTCTTTATATTCAGTGTGAGACATTGAATGAAGAAGAGATTTATGATGTTCAAGAAAAACGCTCCCTCTTTCCTCTAGGGTGGATTCATGTAAGTGTTGGACTATCTTACATGTCTTCTCAATGTTTCAGCTCATTTCATTGCACTCAGATATTTAGCATAATTAGATTACGCAACCTTTCCTATCACCATTGTTGCAATGAGGTGCTCACTGAAGCGTCGTTTATTTTTACTAATATTTAGTTGTTGAAATTGGAAAGAATTCTTTTGTTAATGCTGGTGTGCTGCTTTGCACTTTATCTGAATTGCATGTTTGCACGGTCGTCGTAGCTTCTCTATCCTGTCTTTCTCCGTTCAGATGGAGTATGAATAATTTGTCCATTTTGTGGACAACATTGTAACAGTTTTTAATATTTAAGGTCTGTGGTTGTAATTCTTGGAATGTCCGACTTCTGCTGTGATACTGAGTTGCAGTTCATTAGCATGCATTAATTTGCTGGACTTGTTATAGATTTCATATATCAGAAGTTTTAGTTAGAAACTCTCCGTGGACTCGACAACGAAAAATTATCTATCCTCACATGTGCCTATTTCACGCCATAGTTAATATGTTCATAGAACTGATATGTACTTTTGGTTTCAATATTATGCATTTCATGTCATTCTTGATCTGTATGCCCTTAGTTGAACTTTGGTCAAGTATTCCTTTCATGTTTCAAGTGGTTTTTTGGGAAGTTAATAATCTCAAAATCTTTACGTATGTATATGGAAATCATGCAAAAGCATATGTGTATAACTCGAGTACTAGATTCCATTTTTCACAGTTTTTTTATTTTTTTGGTTGCAGACACATCCAAGTCAAACATGTTTTATGTCTTCCGTTGATCTGCACACTCATTACTCATATCAGGTACTATAACTGTATATTCATATTGTGTCGATCAACTCCTTTATCCAATTTCCTAACTTTCCAAATTTTATTTTTGGGTAAATGGAGAAGAAAGGAAAGAGAAGGGATGAATTTTTTCTGTTACGTCTATCCGTATGGGAAAGAAAGTAGAGAATTATTAGTTGCCTGTAAAACATTTCAGAGGGATCATGTTGGATCTAAATGCATCAACCATAATAAATAAAAGATTAAAAATAAAATAATATAAACTTAGATAAAAACCTACTTCATCTTTTATTAGGTAAAAATGTAAAAATACCTACGGACTCAAATTCTTAACATATACTGAGAATTAGCTAAGCGAAAACTTCTCGGATGAATGTGATTCAGATGTTGTCAATATAGAAGATGTTTAGATGTCGGAAAATGTAGTATCAGTAGAATGAAAGAACTAACTCAAGAAATACGCTTTTCTATGCGATTATACTCTTCCAAATTATACTTGTCTACTTGTGCTGATCCGGCATACTTCATTACACTCAAAGAATCTCTTTGTCGTGTTTCTAGGTCATGTTGCCAGAAGCAATTGCAATTGTCATGGCTCCTACAGACAAATCAAGGTGAAATACTTTCACCACTACTTGAATTTTTTGAATTACTTTTCGCAGTTAATTTTCATTTTATTTATTTATATATTTAAATTGCAGTCCTCATGGCATATTTCACCTTTCCGATCCTGGGGGTGTTTCTGTCATTCGACACTGTCAACAACGTGGTTTTCATCCCCACGAAGAGCCTGAAGACGGAACTCCCATTTACGAGCATTGTTCCCATGTTTACATGAATGCAAACATTAAGTTCGATGTCGTTGATCTTCGGTAAGATTGCCTAGTGATTGCATAATAACATTACAAAAAAAATTATTAAAAATAAATAAAAAGCAAGAGTGTGTACAGGTTATTACCATAAACTTATTGTGTGATTATGGCTGGCTATATTGTATTTTGTAGATTCCTTTCTGATTTTTGTGTATAAAGTTTTTCTATTAATTAACAGCCAATGCTGTGGTGGATGAACCATGCAAATATTACTTTCTATGAAGAAATTAATCACATGCTTTTTTTTATTTACTTTTAATTATTTACAATGATACTTCAGCAATTAATGATGAGTTTGTCGGTATTATTGCATTTATTATGTGATTTATTGTCTGATTATTATTTCTCCACCCTTCTACTGGACAGTGGTCCTCCTCCTCCTCATATTTATTTATTTATTTATTTTAATTTCTAGGAATATTTAAATTAAATTTAGAGAACACATGGACCACAACATGCTATACAGCCACTGACAAAATGGCAAGAAGGTAAAATAACAGGTAAAATTTAAAATTTAATAAATATATTTTTTTTTGGTAAAAAAAAACACCATCTTCCACGGGTGAAATAAAATGTATGTACCTAAGGAGCTAAAATATCTTCACTGGCTAAATGTAGCACTCTTCTATCCACTAACTAAATCTAACAAGTGAATGAAGCACTCTTTTATCCATGTAGAATGACTTATTCCACAATAGATACTATTCTCTTGTATTATCAAAAGTACAATTAAACTTATATAAATTAATACTGTCGGGATTAGTAAAATTTTATTAATTTAGAAATATATTCAATTATCGAACTAATAATTTAGTAGGTTTTAACCGAGTCGGGACCAGAAAAAAAAAACTATTACTTAAGCGATGTTTTTAATTCATCGAGATTCTATATATTGAACCTCGAATCCTTCCGCTCTAAACATCATGAACCATGCCGTATGGGGGGCCCTTACAAAGAAGACAATTCCACTTTTTAATTCGATTGTGATTGTAACTTTGACGGTTTCACAAAGAAAATGACAATTGTATAATTTGCCTCGGTAAAACACTTGAAGGCGACTGACTGGTTAACTAGATGTTACATCCGATCGATAAATTTCACATAGTATGTAAGATTATCTCACCGACACATATTTATTAAATTAATTACGTGATTCGCATACGTTCATCACATGTGTAACTGTAAAATGATCACTCGATGTATTTCATATGATCAGATACAATCAATGCATCTAACCTACTAGAAGGCCACATATGGTTGGGCTTTAAAGGGTGTATGTTTCCACACCGCACATTTATATTGTACTATACTTCTAAGTTTGTGTGTAGTAGCTTTTCTTCTCACGCTTTTCATATCACCAATTACATTATTATAAACTTTATTACAATATGTTGCCGTGATTTATTGAGATATTTTATGTGTAATTAATATTTAGGACATTGCTTATAATAATGCAGCATATATGTTTGTTATATTAATCCATGGTCCATTCAATCCTGGGTTGTTGTGTGTGTGTCGGTGGGTGTGTGTGTGTGTGTGAGAGAAAGAGAGAGAGAGAGAGAGAGAGAGAGAGAGAGAGAGAGAGAGAGAGAATATTCTTGAATATTCTTGGGTTAAATTTTATTTTGTTAATACTTTCGTATAACTTATCAAGGTTGTCTTACCATGATATATATATATATGGTCGGATAACTTATATATTATTTAATAATATCAAATTACTTGTAACACATGGTTAGCCTGGTGTGGCTTACATTTTTCGAATAGTTTCCAAGTTATTAATTATACGAGAGTCTAAATTTATCTGGTGTATACCCATTGGATAAATATCTAACGATATATGTCGAGTTGCTTATCATGCATTACTGCAATTTGTTAATAATAATAAAAAATAATTATACAGTTTTCGAATTCTGACGATTTCAATCGAAAATTTTATGATTTCATTTTGATATCCGATATTC